GCTATCATGCTAATCGAAATAAGTCAATCCCCAAAAACAAAAGGTCAAGTACTCTCTCTGATATGTGAATGCAAACACATAATAAGGGGGGAGGAAAGAATAGAACTTCATTGGATTAGACAAAGGAGAAAGAAGGGAAGGGAGGGAGAACGGGAATAGGAAAGACAGCAGAATGAATTGGACACAACTTTCCTGTGTTCATATATGAGTACACAGTCAGTGTGACTCTACATCGTGTATAACTGCAAGAATAGGAAGTTATACTCCATGTAGATATAAAATGTCAAAATACACTCCTCTGTCATGTATAACTAAAAATAACAACTAAAATTTTAAAAAATTTATACAATTCCAGGCTGGGGCTGKAGCTCAGGGGCAGAGTGCTTGCCCAGCATGTGTGAGGCATTAGGTTCAATCCTCAGCATCACATAAAAATAAATAAAAGCATTCTGTCCATACACAACTACAAAAAAAAATATTTTTAATTTATACAATTCCAGTTCTCAATTATACCTCAAGAGAATTAGAAAAAAATAATAAAATAAATCCCAAAACCWCGAGATATTATTTAGAGAGTTCCAGAGTCTGTCTCATTTTAATTATACTTCATTGATTTATTTGTTTTGCTTCTTTCCTCATTACCTGCCCATCCCTGTCTCCACTAAGCACAAGTTGCCCCAGGACAGGGCCGTGGGTGTGACCTGTTCTCTGTCCCAGCCTCCAGTCCTGGGGAATGCAGTCATGGGTACACACTGCTCCACTGAGTACTGACTGGGGAAGGCTAGCTCCTGGCTGAAGGAAGGAAGGAATGGGTACCCAAGAGGAATGGACCAGTCTGAGTTGTCCCCTCCTCAAGGCCTGGTAAATGCCTCTTGCTTGCAAGAAGACCACTGCTGGGATAGTATCCTCCCACCCCTTCCTCTCCAGGTGCCTCACCTGTTTTGAAGTCTTTCCAGGTTTTGGGATGGGACGGTAACCTTCTGGAACTCGAGGCTGGATTCACGGGACTGAGTGAACTCCCCTGATGCACTCCCATCTACCCCAGCACTGACACTCACACCTGCCTTCCATTTCTGGATCACAGTGTCACTGAAGAAGAATGGACTTGTCACTTCCACTTCTGGAAAGAGAAAAATGACCAGAGGTTTAGCCAAAGAATTCACTATGGAAGAGCTGGGTGTGGGAAGGGAAAATCGAGGCCAATTCTGCCCCAACACCTCCACTCACTAAAACCTCTCCATCAAGACGCTAACCCATCAATTAATGTTGAAGCGTAGACTACCGTGGAGGGCAAATGTTGGACTCCAGCGTGGCACAACAGGGACAGTCTTTACCCTAAGAAACGGTGGCATCACTGGTTCAGTGTCCAGAAGACCCTGGGAACCCTCTTTCCCAGCAAATTTAGAAAATGTTTAGGATTTGGGGACAGAATGACCTGTCTGGATCCTACTTCCTCCAGTGCCCAGCTATGTAACTTTAAATGAATTATTTTATAAACTCCAAACTCTTACACAAAATGGGGATGATATCTCCACCTCMAGAGGCCCTGATGAGCATTCTATGACCTGATGAATGCCTGGTTCCAGATAATTAGTTGATTCTCAAATAATGTTCCTTGCCCTTTTCTTAAGGTGAGAGGGAGCTGAGATGGACCTAGTGAGGCATCTCCAGGATCCTTGGATGTGGCGCTCCTTCTGTTGAAGAACGTTTGTTCTTCACACCTGGAGCCTTGGCCCCTGGCCAACGTACCTGGGACTGAGGAGCCCGGTGCCAGGATGTCCATGAGGGAGTACTCCACTGGAATGTCAGGCTGTTCCCAAAACTGGGACTGAGGGTTCTTCCGTAAAATACTAAACTGACGGAAATGGGTGGCATCCAACAGGGATTTGACAGGCCTCAGGTCTTTGCCTCCAAAGTTTCTGACCATCTTCTTGCTAACACACTCAAATATGGAGGGCATGTTGCTGGGGGCAGAGAGAAGAGAGCAGTTACCTCTCCCTGAGCCCCGATGACCTTTCATAAAGGAGAGAACCTGCACAGGAGTCCATCAGGTCTCACTTCCTGGGGCAACCAGCTCAGAGCTCCCTCAACTTCTCTGCTCTGAAGACAGGCCAGGCTTCTGACAGAAGCGCTCCTGAGAAGTTTGCTCCCCCCATAGCTGTGGCAGGAAATCCTGGTCCACCTCCACCTGTAACCCAGGGATCCCAAAGGACAGGAAGAGGAAGGGCTCAATTTTATCTTCAAATGACAGCGCAGAGGGGCGGTTGGGCTTAGGTTAAGTAGACACGGGTAATGGAAGAGCTGAGATGGCCTTGGTCATTTCACAGATTGTGCAGAGAAGGCCTCATTGACAAGTGACRTTTGGACAGAAATTTAGAAGAGGTGGGTATTAACCATGAACATACGTGAAAAAAAATATTCCAGGTAGAGAAATCGRCAAGTGCAAAGACTCTGAAGCAACCCATGCCTGAATAAGTGGGGTGCAAAAAGAAAGGWGAGGCCGGCAGACACTGCTGCAAGCTGGCTCAGGCCCTGGTTGGTCAGTGTCATCCCTGTCTTTCACTGGTAGCCAGATCAGGAGCCATCAGAGGGCTTTGAGCTCACGCCTCTGGGGCATTTCTGACAAGGTGCCTGTGGTTGCTGGGCTGTCAGTGACTGCAGTGAGACAGGACGGGCAGAAGTGGAGGGTCTAGTTGGGGTGGTTTTACAATAACCCAGGTGAGAGTTGGCAGTGGACTGGACCAAGTCATAGYGCTCCCAGCAATGAGAAGGGATCAGATCCCAGTCTGTGCCACAGGTAGAGACGACATCTACAAAAGGGGTGGGTTGGCAAGGTGGCCTCCATGAGCACTCATAGCTCTCACCCCCAGAATGGCTCAGGAAAGTGYTGTGTGTACATCAGGAGAACATTTCTGACATGGGTTGTTTGAAGAAAGTGAGGTTGAGTCAAAGGGAGCAAGGGGTGGCGGGTGTTGAAGAAGCAGGGAAGGTGAGATAAGGAACCATGAGTCAGGGCAAGAAAAGGGGGCCGGTCTGGAAAACTCTGGAGGGTAAATCATACATGTGCCACTCTGGGTGCATTTAGTGTACTGGTGAGGACGAGCCGGGTTTTCTTAAGGGGCTCCTTTGGATCTTGAACAGGGGAATAAATGGGTCTTAATATGCCTTGCAGAAAAGTTGTACMTGGTGATTTGAAATCTTCACAGAGAGATTCAGGTGTCTGTCAGATGTGCACAATGAAGAACAGGCAGACACAAGTGCCTGATAGTGGCTGGGAAGGTCCCAATTTTGTTTAAGCAACTCTCTAGCAGAGATGAGCTCTCGCCAGGGTCAAGGGGGACTGCTGAGCACCTGGCTGCTGTGTGAGAGGTACAGGAAGAAGACTTCCCTTCCAAAAGGCTAACCTATGGCCTTTCTTAAGCCTCCCTAGTGAAGACCAAGCCAGGGAAATTGTACGACTTCACTCTCCAGCTGGAGGGCTGCTRTGTATGGGTGTGAACTGCCTGTGTTCAGGGMTGCCAAACTGGAGCCTGTCAAGATTTTATACAAACCTGCTGGAAGAGAAACAGCACACAGTATGGGCACATGAAGATGGGCAGGGGATGCTTAAATGGTACAACCTGGAAGCTTGTACTGTTGTTCCTAGTGGATGAGGTTTCTCTATAAATACCATAAAGTCAATCACTTTTACAAAGGGTCACGATCCCTGGCACATGTAGCCATCAAACAGGGCCTGTTCTGCCAGGCACAGGTGGCACATGCCTGTAATCCCAGTGACTCAGAAGGCTGAGGTAGGAGGATCACAAGTTCAARGCCAGCCTCACCAATTTAGCAAGACCCTGTCTCCAAATAAAACATAAAAAGGACTAGGGATGTAACTCAGTGGTAAAGCACCCTGGGTTCAATCCAGTACCGCCCGCCCCTTCCAAAAAGAAAAGGGAGGGGAGGGGAGGGGAGGGGGGATAGTAGGGGATAGGAAAGGTAGCAGAATACAACAGTCACTAATATGCCATTATGTAAAAATGTGAGTATGTAACAGATGTGATTCTGCAATCTGTATTTGGGGTAAAAATGGGAGTTCAAAACCCAATTGAGTCAAATGTATGAAAGATGATATATCATGAGCTCTGTAATGTTTTGAACAATCAATAAAAAAAAAGAAAGAAAACAAAACAAAACAGGGCCACGTTCTTGAGCTGCTTTCCAATTCTTGCAATTTCAACAAACCCAGGATCTCCACCAGCCATTAAACCAAGAAGTRGTGCTTAGCCTGTATTCCCTAAAGAAAACTGATATGTTAATTGATTTGCTCAATCACTTATTTGCTCATTTAGTCAGTGAAGTTTTAACAAGTATCTTAGATGCTAGGGCCCTGCCTTGAGAACATGTTCCTATGGTCTCTGGTCTCTTGGGGCACAGTACGCTGATAAAGACAGATATTTACCAAATGACCTTACTGATAAATGCATAAGTAGTTATAAATCATGATTGACACCATGAATGAAAGGGACCCAATAACTTTATATTAACAAGAATGTAACAACTCAAAGCATGGGTGAATCTCATAATCTAATCTCAAAAAACTTAAGAACGAATATTATTAGACAGAATATAATGATTAGTTCATTAAGTATACAAAGACACAGAAAATATGAACAGTATAGATATCACAATTTCATGGGCTTATAAAGAACTGCATACCCTGATGAGGAGACTGCTCATTGTATTCACGCATGGAAAAATCTTCACAAAATAGAAAAATGTCATAAAACAAACCTCCACAGATATCAAGAATCAGTATTACTCATATTATATGTTTATAACAATTCCATAAAATTTTGAGGGGACAGACTRGGGATTGAGCCTAGGAGTGTACTCCACTGAGCTACATCCCCAGTCCTTCTTATTTTTTGAAACAGGCTCTCGGTTGCTGAGGCTGACTTCAAACTTGGGATYCTCCTGCCTCAACCTCCTGAGTAGCTGGGATTATAMGCAGGTACCACTRCAACCAGCTCCATTAAATTCTAAATTAATAATAAAAAATATAATTTAATTCCCAAGATGTGTGAGAGCTAAAAAAAAATCAAGTATCCAAATAACTAGAAAGTCAAAAAAGAAATGACAAGGGGAGTGTTAATGAGTAAAAATTTGTGGAATATAGCTAATGTGGTTCTTAGAGATGCGCTGGAAGTTTAAATATTTTTATTAGAAAACAAGAAATGACTGAAAATGAATGAATTAARCATTCCAGCAAGTAGTTAGAAAAAAGAACTTATGTCTCTGGGTTCAGTCCCCAGTACAAGAGGAGGAGGGGAGGGAAGGACAAGAAGAGGAAGAGAAAGGGGAGGAGAAGGAGGAGAAAAAGAAAAGGAGGAAGAGGAGGCGACAGAGGAGAAAGAGGAAGGAGGAGGAGGAGGAGATGGTGGTGGCAGAGGAGGAGGAGGAGGAGGAGGAGAAGAAGAAGAAGAAGAAGAGGAGGAGGGGAGGAGGAGGTGGTGGCAGAGGAGGAGGACGAAGAGGAGGAGGAGGAGGAGGAGGAGAAGAAGAAGAAGAAGAGGAGGAGGAGGGGGAGGAGGAGGAGGGGAGGAGGAGGGGAGGAGGAGGAGGCAGAGGGGAGGAGGAGGAGGAGGAGAAGAAGAAGAAGAGGAGGAGGAGGAGGAGGAGAAGAAGAAGAGGAGGAGGAGGAGAAGAAGAAGAGGAGGAGGAGGAGAAGGAGGAGAGGAGGAAGGGAGGAAGGAAGAAATGAAAGAAGGGGGAAGAAAATAAGTGAAAAGAATGTGTGAAAGAAAGAGAAAAATGATGTCAGGCATACACAATGTGGGGCTGGGGCTGTAGCTCAGGGGCAGAGCACTTGCCTGGCACATGTAAGGCACTGGGATCGATCCTCAGCACCACATAAAAATAAAYAAACAAAAATAAAGATATTGTATGTATTTATAACTTTAAAAATGTTAAAAAAGGGAATACACAATGGGGGGAAATAATGACTTCAGTAAATAGTGTTGGGACAAACTAGTTATTCACGTRTAAAACACTGAAACTGGACTTTTATCTTAGACAATACACAAAAATCAATGTAAAATGGATTGAATGTTYATACTTAAGACATAGAACTACAAAACTCCTCAAAGAAAGCATAAGAGGAAATCTCCCTCCCATTGATGTTAGTGACCATTCCATGGGTATGACAACAAAAGCAAACATAGACAAGTGGGACTGACTGCGTCAAAGACTTGCACAGCAAAGGGAACTGTCAACAGAAGGAAACAGCAGCCCATGGAACGGCGGCAATATCTGCAAACCMTGMACCAGGTAAGGAGTTAAGGCAGCAAGAAGGATGAGCCTTGAGGACATTAACTAAATAAGTCAGTCACAGAGGACAAACACCATGATCCCACCTATGAGAGGCTCTGAAATTGTCCAAGTCACACGATCAGAGAGTGGAATGATGGCTTCTAGGAGCTGGGAAGAGGAGGGAATGGGGAGATGCCGAGCAATGGGCTTAAGTCTCAGTTATGCAATATGCATAAATTCTCCCTGCACGGCTTTGCACCTAGAGAACAATAAAATAACAATATTTTATTGTACAATTAAAATTTTTTGAGGGTAGATCTCATGTTAAATGTTCTTATAATTATACGACTTTGTGTGTGTGTGCAGTGCCCCACACATGCTAAGCACAGGCTGTACTACTAAGTTGCTTGATACGATCATTTTTAAAAATTAAATGTGAGTCATATGTGGACAACATGGAACCAAGTGGCCAACTGTCCAAAGCACAACAGGCCCAAGTTTTATTGTAACTATCGAGATGCAGACCCTACCCGTGACTCGTCATCTGTGAGAAGACACACTACTGGAGAAGGAAACACAAAGGGAATGTTGGAAGTCTCCTATCAGAAACTGATGGAAGAGATGGCTGGTAGACAAAACAGTAGCTGCATTCAACAGAGAAGGACA